ATGGCTCCCAAAAATGCCCCCAAATTACCCCAAAATTGCCCCCAAAATTACTCCCAAAATGGCCCCAAAATTACCCCAAATTGCCCCCAAATTACCCCAAAATGGCCACAAAATTGCTCCCAAAATTATCCCAAAATTACCCCAAAATACCTCCAAAATTACCCCAAATTGCCCCAAAAAAGCTCCCCAAATTGCCCCAAATTGCCCCAAAATGGCCCCAAAATTATACTGAAATTACCCCCAAATTACCCCAAAATGGACCCAAATAACCCCAAAATAGCTCCCAAAAGTGCACCAAAATTATCCCAAAATGGCCCCCAAAATGGCCCCCAAATGGCCCCAAAATTACCCCAAATTTGCCCCAAATTTACCCCAAATTGCCCCCCAAATTACCCCAAATAACCCCAAAATTATCCCCTAAATTGCCCCCAAATTATCCAAAAATGGCCCCAAAATAGCTTCCAAAATTGCTTCAAAATTACCCAAAAATGGCCCCAAAATTACCCCCAAATTACCCCCAAAATTACCCCGAATTACCCCCAAAAATTGCCCCAAATGGCCCCATAATTACCCCAAATTGCCCCAAAATTACCCCAAATGGCCCCAAATTACCCCAAACTGCCCCAAAATCGCTCCCAAAAGTGCCCCAAATCCCCCCAAAATGGCCCCGAATTGCCCCAAAATAACACCAGATTCCTCCAAAATAACCCCAAATTGCCCCAATTTGCCCCAAATTACCCCCAAATCTCCTAAAATTGCCCCCAAACGGCCCCATGTTTCCTCAAATAACCCCAAAATAATCCCAAATTTCCCCCAAATTATCCAAAATTCCCCCAAATTGACCCCGAATTTCCCCCAAATACTCCAAAATCACCCCAAAATTGCCCTAAATTTTCCCCCAGATCACCTCAAAAAGGCCCCAAATAATCCCAAATTCGCCCCAAATTGCACCCCCAAAAACCCCAATTTTCCCAAATATAACCCAAATTTTCCCCAAAATTATCCAAAATTGCCCCAAAATTGCCCTAAAATTTCCCCCAAATCACCTCAAAAAGGCCCCAAATAATCCCAAATTCCCCTAAATTCCCCCAAATTACCCCAAAAAAGCCCCCCAAAGCCCCCAAATTTCCCCCAAATAACCTGAAAAAGGACCCAAATAATCCCAAATAATCCCAAATTCACCCCAAATTCCCCCCCAAAAAACCCAAATTTCCCTCAAATAATCCAAAATTGCCCTAAAATTGCTCTGAAATTTCCCCCAAATAACCTCAAAAAGGCCCCAAATAATCCCAAATAATCCCAAATTCCCCCAAATTGCCCCCCAAAATCAAATTTCCCTCAAATAATCCAAAATTGCCCCCCAATTGCCCCCAAATAAACTCAAAAAGACCCCAAATTTCCCCCAAATAATCCCAAAATCCCCCCAAATTCCCCCACATTGACCCCAATATTTCCCCCAAATTATCCAAAACCCTAAAATTTCCCCCAAATCACCTCAAAAAGGCCCCAAATAATCCCAAATAATCCCAAATTCCCCCAAATTGCCGCCCAAAATTGCTCTAAAATTTCCCCAAAATAATCCCAAATTCCCCCAATTTTCCCCAAATTGCCCCCCAAAAGCCCCCAAATAACCTCAAAAAGGCCGCAAATTTCCCCCAAATAATCCCAAATTGCCCCCAAAAAAGCTCCAAACGTTTTGGGTTCATTTTGGACGTTTTCTTTGAAAATTGCAGTTCTGTACAAATGGCGTTTTCACCCATTTTGGCGTTTTTTGCCTTTTTTTTTGGGGGGGGGGGGGGGGGAACAATTTTTGGGGTGAAAAATAAAGAAACTGGAACTGAACGGTGCTGTGGTTTTGTGGGGAGATCCCATAATCCGGGATTACAGTCCATAATCTGGGATTACAGCTCCATAATATGGGATTACAGTCCATAATCTGGGATTACAGCTCCATAATATGGGATTACAGCCCATAATCTGGGATTACAAACCATACTCTGGGATTACAGACACATAACCTGGGATTACAACCCCATAATATGAGATTATAGCCTCATAATCTGAGATTAGAACCCATAACATGGGATTACAACTCCATAACATGCGATTATAGCCCCATAATCTGGGATTAGAACCCATAGAATGGGATTACAGCCCCATAATTTGGGATTACAACCCCATTGTGTGGGATTATGGCCCCTAATCTAGTATTAGAACCTATAATCTGGGATTAGAGATCCACAATCTGGGATCACAGTCCCATTATCTGGGATTAGAGGTCCATAATCTGGGAACCCGTAGTGTGGGATTACAACCCCTTTATCTGGGATTAGAGGCCTGTAATACAGGATTAAGATCACATAGCATGGGATTGAGCCCCGTAATCTGATATTATAGGCCCATCATCTGAGAAAACTCCATAATCTGGAATCGCAATCCTCTAATCCCACATTAAAGACCCATAATATGGGGGTAGATCCTATAATCCAAGATTACAGTGCTATAATCCCAAATGGGAGTCCCAGAATCCGGGATTAGAGACCCATAACCCGGGGAAATCCCATAATCTGGGATTGCAATCCTCTAATCCCACGTTAAAGACCCATAATATGGGATTGCAGTTCCATAACCTGGGATGGGAGTCCCAAAATGTGGGATTAGAGTCCTATAGTCTCAGATTAGGAGCCCGTAATCTCAGATTAGGGTTCCACTCTCCAAGGGATCCCCATAATCTGGGATTCAGGGTCTCGTAATCTGGAATTAGTGTGCTATAACCCAAAATTAGTGTTCCATAAACCGGGGAAGATCCTAATCCGGGGCTGAACGCCAAAATCCAAGGATGGGGTGACCATAATCCCATGGGGAGTCCCCATAATCTGCGTTTGGAGTCTCATAAATCAAGAGGACCCCATAATCTGGGAATGGCGTACCCATAATCTGGGATTGGAGCCCCACACTCCAAGCGGGGGGAGTTCATAATCCAGGAGGATCCCATAATCCGGCTTTGTGGTGTCCATAACTCAAAGTGAGGCCCCATAATCCAGGGGCCTCTTCAGAATCCAGCTTTGGGGTGCCCGTAATCCGGGTGCAAATCCCCATAATCCAGGCAGAGTCCCCATTATCCAGAAGATGGATGCATAATCCAGGAGTATCCGCATAATCCAGGTGCAAGATCCCACAATCTGGGTTGAAGCAGCCATAATCTGGGTTGAGGTGGCCATAATCCAGGTTGGGGAGCCCATAATCTGGGGTGTGAGCCCATAATCTGGGGTGTGAGCCCATAAACCGGGTTGAGATGCCCATAATCCGGGTTGGGGTGCCCATAATCCACGATGGAGGCCCACAATCTGGGTTGGGGTGCCCATAATCCGGGGTGTGAGCCCTTAATCCGGTTTGGGGTGCCCATAATCTGGCTTGAGGTGCCCATAATCCAGAGCAGGAGCCCCATAATCCGGTTTTAGCTCCCCATAATCCGGGTGGAGGCTCCTCTACGGGAGGTGCTCGGTCCTATGGGGGGGCAGAGAAGCGAGGGGAGGCGTCAGTGTGTCCCCCCCCCCAGGATTAGGAGATGTGGGATTATGGGATTACGGGGGGACGGCACTCACTCGGGGGTGGCGTCACAGCGGCTGTTGGAGCGCTCCCGGCCTGGGGGGGGGGTCCCGTGGTAATCTGGGGGGGGGACAGGGTCATAATCCCATCCTGAATCCCATAATCCCACCTAATCCTGCAGCCCCACGTTGCCTTCATCCCCTTATGGTCCATAATCCCATCCCCCCATAATCCCACCTCCCCACGCCTCTATAATCCCGCACACCACATCCCTGGCCCCAATATCCCCATAATCCCACCTAATCCCACCTCCCCATACCGCTATAATCTCACACCACCACATCCCTGTGCCCCAATATGCCCATAATCCCGCCTAATCCCACCTCCCCATGTCTCTATAATCCCACACCACCACATCCCTGGCCCCAATATCCCCATAATCCCACCTAATCCCACCTCCCCATGCCTCTATAATCCCGCATCACCACATCCCTGGCCCCAATATCCCCATAATCCCACCTAATCCCACCTCCCCATGCCTCTATAATCCCGCATCACCACATCCCTGTGCCCCAATATGCCCATAATCCTACCTAATCCCACCTCCCCATGTCTCTATAATCCCACACCACCACATCCCTGGCCCCAATATCCCCATAATCCCACCTAATCCCACCTCCCCACAACTCTATAATCCCACACCACCACATCACTGTGCCCCATAATGCCCATAATCCCACCTAATCCCACCTCCCCACATTCCTATAATCCCACACATCCCTCCGCCCCAATATCCCCATAATCCCACCTAATTCCACCTCCCCACGTCTCTATAATCCCGCACACCACATCCCTGTGCCCCAATATCCCCATAATCCCACCCCCACCCCCTAAGCACCCCTATAAAAACCCCCTT